AGTTTGGTCCGTCTGGCAACCGCTGATGAGAATCCCACCATCAGGAATAGCGCGGTGGTTTGCTCCGGCGTAAACCTCTTGCTTGCTACCCACTTGTGTCTCTAAAGCAGGCTTTGCATACTCATCGTTATCTTGAAGCTTTTGTTCAAGAAACCCTTGAGCCAAGCTTCCAATCTTCCCCAATAACCCACCGCTGCTGCCCTCATGGTTTTGGAGTTTGTTCATGATGACCTTCATGAACTTTTTCACCTTAGGACTGGCATCTTCTCCGAAAACATCGAAGAGTGTTGGCCTCAGCTTCCCAACATCAATGTCATCCTTTCCTGTTTTCTGCTTGAGTATCTCTATGAGAGTTGAGAGTGGCAGAGACCTGCTTTTGACATAGCCCCTGTGCCCATATCCAGTTTCAATTTCTCTGTCATCAGACTCTTCTTCACGGTGCCGATTGGGGCGCAATGCAGACGGGATGCGGATTCCACGAGACTCAAGTGCATCTTCTGCCCTGTCCTTGAGGAAGTTCTTGAATCCACCAAAACCGGAGCTAGACTCGCGCTCTTCCCCTTTGGTGCTCTCCCCTATCTGCTCTTTAGCTTCATCAATGAGGCCGCCGCTGTGGCAAGAATCTGATACAATTGTCAGCCGGCAACCTGCTGGCAGCTGGTCTACGAACTCCCTGAAGTCATCATCTGTTGCAAATACATTCCACAACGGTTGTGAACTTGTCATATCAACCGAAGAACAAACAGAACAATCACATTATGTTCAAAGTAGCATTAGAACCTTTATAAATAAACTCTTCTCTTATTTCGATGTTGATATTGCTTTTGAGATTTAGATTACAGTGTTTTGAGCTTAAGGTTTATTTTGAGTTTGTATTAGAAAGATAATTAGATAGAAATGACCTAATTTTGGACCTTAACACAATATCAAACCTGAAAACATAAGCAGATCATTCAAGCTCAGAATCAGCACTTTGAATCATTCAAATGCAGACCAACAACCCAAGTAGTTAAAATTAATATCCAGATTTCCGAACAGAAATCCAGTTGATCCAAAATCTTTGGATCAACAAAACAAGATGTCAATTTTCCTGAAATGCTCCAACTCTATCCATGATCCATCAATTTTGTTCATCAGATACAAGAAACAAACACATTAAAACAATCATCAGAGACAACCCACATAATCATCAATCATCAAAACAAATATCAGACTGAATTTTCCAACAAAACCCAAAACTTGAAAACCAAAACAGGCCACAAAAAGAGAAAGAACAAGAACAAGAGAGAGAGCAATCAGAAGCAGACCAGTGATGAGGTTCATGTCAGTGGGGACGATACACTCATCATAGCCAGTGTCGTCGTCATCGCCAGTCTCAGCAGGAAGGCGAGTGCCGTGGCCGCTGTAGTGGACAAAGAGGACGTCTCCGGAATCGGCAGATCGGATGAGGTTGGTGATGGCCCGGCGGATGTTTCTGCCGGTGGGCTGAGTGTAGGAGGAATCTGAGTCGATCAAAACTTGGATGTCGTCTTCACGGAAGCCATATCTGTCCACAAGGCAGCTGCGCATCCTCTTCACGTCGTTAATGCAGCCCTTCAGCTCTGCCTTGGTTCCCTGGTAGTTGCATCCTATCAGCACTGCCTTCTTCGCCATTTCTCTCAATTCTGATCACTCTCACTCTTTTTTTTTTTTTTTTTTGTCTCTGGTCTCTGTTTTTCTTTCTTGATCTCTGTTTTTTTTTCTTCTGGCTTTTGAGAAAAAGGAAAAAAATATTGGACTGATTAGTTTTGCTTTATCTTGTAATACGTTGATTGGATTGGATCGGTGACTGCCTGACTGGGTGTGGGGTCATGATAATAATTGCCTAAAGAATTAGGGTTATTTCCAAGATCCAATTATAGTATAATATACTCAAATTTGTTCTAATTGGTTTTTTGTTTTTGGGCTGGATGTTGGTACTGACTTGGAGGCACGTCTTGGCTATACTTTCTTTGCTGGATAATATCTGTTGCCAGATTAGCACACTATATTTTCATATTGGCACAAATGAAAAATGAAATAAGTTGAAAAAATTTAAACCCTTTTCTCAATTTTCCCACATTATACTATCAAAATTATTGTATTATCATCATCATCCAACATTACTTCGTACTTTATACAAATCTCTTTGCAAAAAAGAAATTTACTTTTCTGTCAAAGATGAATGTTTTCATGACAATGTGAGTCCAAGATGTAGGGAAACAAAATGGAAAAAATGTCAGGCAGGAATTGACTCCTCTAGCTGTCACAAAAGGGTAAAGTTTCCAACTTTTACAAGACTATCATAACTATGGATGGTCAGTTGCATATTTGATCCAACGGGCTCAGTGTGTTGATGTGCAATTTTTCTGATTTCCTTTTTGTTTCAACTTTGTCATTTTTCTGTATGCTTATCGGCTCAAAGTCCATCGCCTGGAACACGTGCGAAAATACTTGGGTGCGACCGTTGTTCCATCTTGTGGTGTTATTATTTTACGTGGCGGTATGATAGTCACACCAATGTGCAACTGTAAATTATATGCACTAGCAGATATAACATTCATGATCATTACTTTTATATCTTCTTCAATATGGCAATACAATATATGGGTAGAGACTTTATCATAATACAAGAAAATTCCCTAAGCAGGATCGAACCTGCATACTGTTTAAGGAGTATTTTGTGATCAGACACATAAATCCAAGCTTCAACTTATTAAAATGCAATTAGCTTTTCAAACTGGTAAAAGGGAAAACAGAAATACATATTATGGGCTTGATCAAGCATTGACAAAATTGCAGTTCACTCGGATTTCACCTTCATTTGGTCTTGTAAGAACTTGGACATTTCCAAGCTTCACCATGGACACTGCAAACTGGCTCTCAAAAAGGGAGGGCTGAGATGCCAATGCAGCAACAAATGGACCAGTTCTTACATCTGACTTGAGCAACTGATCTGTTGATAGCAACCCCAACTTCTTGTGAAGATTCGAGTAGAACTGCGTGTCGAATGTCTTCGGAGTTATGGCATCAAGATAAATCAAGTCCAAATCATTTTGGCATTTCTTCTTCAAGAAGTTGTTCAAATACATGGAATTAAGTGAAGGATCAGGCTTTCTGGTTCCATTGAAGTTTGAGAGCCTATACTTGAAGGAAGAGCAAGAACTTCTACCAATGGTGTGCGCTCCTGAAAGGGTGACCAAATCAAGCATGTTCAAGCCACGTGCTTGGAAAAATTCAATCAGTGCAGTTACATTTTCATGGCCCTGAGGAACAGAGTCAGCTTCCCTGGAAATTGAAATCCGTCCATCTTTACGCCCGAACGGGACTTGCCAAAATGGACCTCCAGCTATAATGGTGGCATCTCTAGCTGCAGAAGTGAGAATGTCAGCACAGGAGACAGTTTTAGGACACTGCCTCTCAAGCTCTGCCTTGATGTCATCTATTACTTGAAAACCTCTGAGTGTCCTGCTGGCAAAAGCTCTCCTCTCGCTCCCTTGATGGTTAAGCAAAATTGATGCATCACAGCCCTGCAATGTAGAGTTATTTTAATCAAATCTAATACATGTAAAGATTTCTTTCTTTATATGCTCTAAGCCTTTGTTCTATTAACTGCTAAATTTTCGCCGAGGGGTTTAGAACATGGTAAGTGACATTAAAAAATACTAATTAGTAATGTGTTCGGATTAGGATATGTTAAAAGGTTGGTTCTTTTCCAATGTAAAAGAAGAAGAAAATGAAAAAGTTTAATGCGAATGCGAGCTTACTCTCACAGCGCAGTCGTGGAAGTGTAAGCGAATGATGCTAGCAGCCAAAGTGAAATCCTTCTGGATCCAGTCTCCCGTTATTTGCTGAATGATGCCCTCAGCTTGGGGACATGTTTTAAGATAGTGGTCGAAAGACAGAAGATCCACAGCACGCACAACTTTGGCCTGGGGCTTTTTCACATTTTTAGCTGCTAATTGAGGTGCTGCAGATACAAACAACAGAACAAGAACAACAGACAATGCAGAAATGCACAACTTCATGTTTAATTTCAGCTTGGTCTTGGTAGTTGGTGTTATGGTGTATGCTTAATTTTTATCTTCAGCTAGACTTGTTTTTATATATAGCTCTAGAAACTGAGTTGATGTGTTGTGGGGTTTTGAAAAATACGTGAGAAGCACTATTGAGCCTTATAGAACAAAGGGTAACATGCAAACATGTTAAGTCTCATTTTAGATTGATACTGTATTTAATTCATGGTGTAATTTGAGTCAACCCCACTAGGGGAAGGTCCTAGCTAGTGGACAATTTACATCTGAACCAATTTAATTAATTAAATTAACATATATTAGCTGTTCAAGACTTGAGCATTGTTTACATTTGCTTGAACTTGACAGAGTACAGATCATCTAATATTTAAAGTTTCTCATCCACATAATCAGTAGTTCAAGTATACTATCCTTTAATTGCTCAAGCGTGTTGAAGTAATCAAGTATTTTAAATCAGTCCAAAGCACATTCCCTTTGCTTTATTTGGACAAGCTCAATGGGATATCCTGTGAAACATTCTAGCAAATTATTCCTTATTTTCACTCGATGATATTGAGAGAGGTGATAATATACTAAACTCACACACACTACATGAGAGGTGATAATATACTAAACTCACACACACTACATGAATGCTAGAACATGAATGCTAGAACTCGAACCAGGACCATTCATAGGAGAGCAATTGCTCCCAAATCACTACACTAGTGTATGGGAAGCTTCAACAACAGAAACACTTATTCATCACCTATTTCTTGTGATAAACATAGAGAGGCAGTGTTAAATTCATTTATTTGTTTTTAAAGAAAGCACCAAGAGTTACGATATAAAAAGGCATAAGCTAGCCACATATTATTCTATATCTTGGCTAGACTTACTTAAGTAAGGTTGACATCAAAAAAGATGATTAAACTTAAACTAGTCAAGAGACTGAAATGAGAATTGGACTTAAAATCACAATGTTGCAAATTACACTCCATTTACATTACTTTGAACATACAATACAAACAGCACAAATTCACTCCAAAAATTAATCACAAAGCAAAATTACATACCCCAAACAGAGCTCACAAGAAAGATTTGAATTCATAAACATTGATTGAAAAAGGGTCTCATAGTGTAATTATATTCTCTAAGCTTTGCAGCACACAAAGCGTCCGAGCCCTTTGGAGCCATGTTTTTCATCATCTCCAGATATCTCAACCTTCTTCTGATGCTTGTGTTTTTTCTTCAAGTCATCCTCCTTAGGCACTGTAATTACTAAAACCCCATCACACATGGAAGCCTTAATCTCATCAACCTTGGCATTTTCAGGCAGCCGAAAGTTTCTAGAGAAGCTGTCACTTGTCCTTTCCCTGCAGTGCCACGTTTCATTCTTGGGGTCCTCTGTTTCGGGCTCTGCCTTTCTCTCTGCACTCACATGAACCACTCTATTTTCATGCACCTCAAGCTTCACATCCTCTTTTGTAAGGCCTGGAAGATCAATTTCAAAGATGTGGGCATGTGAAGTCTCCTTCCAGTCCATGTAGGTGTTGTTGTCGCCTATGTCTGAGTTAAAAACTCTGAGAGGGGACAAGAAGTTGGGTTGGTCCAAGAGAGACTGCAAGAGAGACATTCTTAATTCTGGATGTATGTGTGTGTTGGAAGAGGGAATTTAAATCTGGGTTTTGTTTTAATTGTGTTGTTATTGCAAGTGATGGTTTGGTGAGTTTTTTGATATGATCATATGAGTATTTATATATGGAAGGAATAGGAGAAAGTGATTTTCTTGAAGTTTCTGGATTAATTTGGAATTGTATAGTGTTTTGCTTCTCCTGGATAATGATGTTTATCGATATTGATGGGCTTTGTTGGGTCCATTTCCCCATATGCTTCGGAAAGTCAATGTTGGAGAACTCTCTGGGAGAACCTGGAAATTGTATTCGAAGTACTCTTAACTCCAACTTATAAATTATATCTTACAAGTTGCAATACTCCATTCACCACAATAACCTACGTACACAAAAAGGATCTCATAAGAGTTACACAAGTTCTTGGGTTAGTGGCGAGGGAAGGATAATGCGTTAGGATTAGGATAGGTTCATGGTTCGATTCTCTGTACTCTAAGCAGGAAAAAAAAAAAGGGTGGGCTAATCCTAGCTTGTTGATATTAGACTTAATCTTTGAAGTTTGACCCCTCAGTTGGGGATTTTTCATTCTTTACAAATACTCTGGTCATTAACTTCTTTCTTCCTTTATTTTTGTAACCTTCACAGATCATTCTTGAATCTTCCAGACCATCTTGACAAGGCTTTTCTAACATTAATAGTAACGTGACTTGGAAGAAAGCAATCCTCTCAGCTTCCGCACCTGACCCAATTAAGGTCAGTCAGCCCATTTACATCTTGAAAAAGACTTGAGATTCAAATCACACTGTGTGCAAAAGACCCGCTAGTGTAGTGGTTTGTAGTATTTGTTTCTCTAGACAAGGTCATTGGTTCTAGTCTTAGCATTCGTGTTGTGTGTGTGAGTTTATTATATTATGGCCTCTCTTTCAATGGAAAATATCGTTAAAAAAATAAATAAAAATTCAGAGTGTGTGGAGCCTGGGCTTTGTCTGCAGAATTTCCAACCTACCACTTTCCAATGAGCCCAATTTGCTTTGATCTATTTACTTCCCATTCCTACATCATGGCTTCAGGCCCAGAAAAGAAAAAAAACCCAAATTATGGTCAGAAACACAACACATGGTGTTAGATCTATATGGCAATTGAGTTGATGGTTAATCTTAATAATATGTTTTTTTTTTAAGTCAAATAAACTTTTGGAATGAGACATGTGTTAATCTTTTGTATTATTACTTCATCATCTATATTCAATAATGTTGATTGAAAATAAAAACAAAAATGCATCCAATATAATGTTTCACGTACAAAGTACAGAATGATAGAATTGTACTTCAATTTTTTTTTTCTTGGATCATGAATTGATGATGATATCATGATGTACACAAAAAAAAAAAAAAAAAAAGGAAATATCTATGCTTTTTTTTCCCATGGGTTTGTTCCCATGGGCTTATGTCCACTAGTGCCCTGCCGTAGCCTTCAATGCAAAACCAAATATTCCCTCCCATTTGGTCCGTACAATAATACATATATAATTATATATATTATCTTCTGCAGGGTTTGCCTGTGAATGAGTATTTTTTTTCCTGGAATTTCAACAAAAGTCATCTCTGCCAGTGACAATGCCAATGCCGTGAATGATTTCTGTAGAAGTGACTTTGTCAAAAAGTGCTTCATATTCTCCATCTCTGCAAATGCTTATATGCCTAATGTGATGTCCTTGAAGCTTCATACTGGTGACGGTGGATACAATAAAAAGCAAACACTACATTACATCCTTAAACAGATTTTAAGTTTAATATATTATGCACACATGAGCTTCATAATTGCATTATTAGAATTCCCTCTTATTTTTCAACTAAATTCCCAATTCTATTTTTGCTTCAAATCATTTGTCTGTTTTATTAGAGAGGCTGGCTTCAGGAGTTGCCTAGTTTGACATAAAGAAATTATTAATTAATCAAGATTAAACCCATATGGCCAAATAGACTTTTACTTCAGTTTGTTACCAATATGTTTTCATAGCTAGATAATTTTTGTTTTTTTAGGAGAAACGATAGTAATTTATTGATAAGGAAAAGAACCAATTACAAGAAAATTGGGCTATGCGCTAAGGGGTTAGGCGAGTTTCTCTACATAAGGATCGGTGAGAAAACTGCCCGTCTCCCTATTAACATGCCCGAAAAAATTATTGGTTGATGAAAGTAATAGAACCAGAATATTGATCAATTCAATATTAATTGAATTTACAAAGATATGAATAATAGAAACGTACAATCTAAACCGAATGATTCAAAAGGGAAGGCTCTACGAAATGACTTAAAAATAAAGGAAGAATACAAAGAGGAAGTAGAAGTAGAAGAACACAAGCGCGGTTTTATATAAATGGTAGTTGTCAGTTGCATGATTTTGCTCTGTTTTTGTCTGAAGATTGAAAACTCATTATTGTTCAAATGTCGGTTCTATCTCACATGGGATGTCTCATTGATGTAATATTTTAGCTGGTTTTGGTAGGCAATATACATATATGCCGTTAAAACATAACAATATTCCTTTTTGAAGAGATTAATTAGGAAAATGTAGTTTAAGTTTCATCAAATCAATCATCATCAATTACCAGGAAAATTCATGTGGTGGATAGACGTTAGGCAAGAGAATGGTCCACATCAAACCAAATTCCAAATACAAAATTAGAATTTATACTCAGAGGAACAAGAAAAGTTAGATGCTTTGCTATCTGTTATATTTAAGGACAGGGGCTTATAGGATCCCCATGTTGGTAGGTGTTCTTTTTCCCATGTGACATGCTTTTTTTTTTGGGTACCCAATTAAACTTAACCACTAGCTAAATGTGATTAAGAAGTTTAATCTGATTGATTTGATAGATTAATGTAAAAAACCCAAATGCATGCACTTGCGTCTGCTTTAGATGGTAATATAGGCCAAGAACAGGAAGCTCTAAGATAAAAAGTGCTTCTGCAGGTTGAAGTTCTCACTTGGAAGCAAGGTTTCTTATGCTCTGAGACGCTGTGAGTCTGTGACTTTGTGAAAAGTCATGAGAGGCTAGCAAAAGGGTCCACTTACAATCAATGGGGCTCTGTAAGTCTTAAGGTAGTTCGAGTATGAATCTCATTTTCTGATGACGACTTCACAAAACACTACATGTACTATATGACACATGTGTCATCCCCTCAATGCAAGCAAGGTGCCAAAGAGTCCAAGAGGACAAGTTTATCAGCACTCTGTTTGAAAATTGACAACTCCAACTGCTTCCAATGACAGAAGCACCATATCTTAGAGACCATGATATGTATACTGGCTTCAATAACTGCTTGAGCTGTCATCACATCCAGGAAATATTCATGGTTGAAAAGATTTCAATGGTAAAATTAATTGGCCGGTTAAATTAAATGGTACATTTTGTGTGCAGATATAAGCTTGCATTTACACTTGTGTGTAAAACCACGATTATTCCTTCCTTCCTGTACAATATTTTGCTAGTTCAGTTTTCTCTTGCAGATGTTCAAAAGCCCATATTCGAGGCTGTAATTCTCCTTTCGGCATTTTATATATAAAAGAAACAGAAACAAAATGGATCAAGAGCTTTGATGCACAGTTGGAAAGAAATGCAGCCCAATTTGTCTGGAAAGTAAATGAGAGAAGCCTATTGATGACATAAAGATATATCAATTAATTATAGAGGGGTTACATATGTAAGTTCAGAAAGGTCTTGTATGGACTTGTAATATCTTTCAATTGATTAGTTCAACAACTAAATCCTAACCGAAGTTCAAAAGCTCTATAGGTTGTGCTCACTCAAAAGGGCCATTAGGTTTTGATTATAAAACATTACCAAAAAAAGAATTTGAGAGAGAGAGAGAGAGAGAGAGAGAGAGAGATTCCCTCCAGCTAAAAAGAGGGTATCAATAATTGGTCTTTTACTTGCCTTGTTGCCTTCCTTATCCTCCACTCCAGCTTTAAGTTCTGGCATATCAGAAGGATATATCCAAATATCTTCTGTAAAGTGCGAAGAGGGGGGAAGTCCCAAGTGAAAAACATGGTGGCTTTCAGCACACTATCCCATAATCCCACCCAACAAATCCCCATTTTAATCTCCTTTTGATTCTCTCACTATTCAATATAACAACATGAACAATTATAATACTAACAATAATTAGTATAGGAAACAACCCAAATGGCCAAGTAAGTATGGCAGGCCCCAACCTCCCCATGTTACAAATCCCCCTTTACCTGTCCCCACTCTCTCTCCTTTTATAAAATCCCCAAGCCCTGCCTTCCCCTCTCCTTCACTCCCATACCACCTCCTTCATTGATCTCTTCTCCTGTACACATCTTTGAGCCATCAAGTCTTTTTCCTCCTGTTCATTGCTAGAAAACCCATCACATTTAGACTTACATATTCAACACACAAGAACATACACAGAACCTAAGAAATTATGTGCAGCTCTAAGGCCAAGGTGACCATAGGGGTTGAAGTCACACCCATGGTTGCTAGAATCAATGGCAGACCTGTCCTTCAGCCTACCTGCAATCGGGTTCCTAGCCTAGACAGGCGGAATTCGATTAAGAAAATATCAACACCACCTCCCCCTCCACCATTGCCAACTTCTTCTGCTAGTAGTACTAGTCCTAGAATTTCCAACAAGGCTTCATCATTGTCAACACCTCCAATTTCTCCAAAGTCAAAGTCTCCAAGGCCACCAGCAATAAAGAGAGGAAATGACCCTAATGGGTTGAACTCAAGTTCTGAGAAAGTTGTGACCCCCGGAGGTACCACAAGAGCTAAGATTTTGGAAAGGAAGAAGTCCAAGAGCTTTAAGCGTGCTAGTGTTGGTGTTGATGGTGCTTCTGCTGATCTTCATCATCATGGAGATTTTAGTGCTGGTGGATTTTCTTCTTCTTCGAATATCGAGGCATCGTTGAGTTATTCGTCTTCTTTGATCACGGAGGCGCCAGGAAGCATTGCTGCTGTGAGGAGGGAGCAGATGGCCCTTCAACATGCACAAAGGAAGATGAGGATTGCCCATTATGGAAGATCAAAGTCTGCCAACTTTGAAAGGGTTGTTCCTGTTGATGCTTCTGGTAATATAGAAGCCAAGGGAGCTGAAGAAGAGAAAAGGTGCAGCTTTATCACAGCTAATTCAGGTATGGTCTATATTCTTAAGAGTAACTTCATGTTGAAAATATAAACTTATGCTCCTTAAAAATATTCGACTCATTGACTGATTGTTTCATTTTCTTTGTATGCTATTCTCAGATCCCATCTATGTTGCTTACCATGATGAAGAATGGGGAGTTCCAGTTCATGATGACAAGTAAGAACCCTCTCTTTTCCACACAAAAAATTTATTATATATATAACGGGTGTATATAACATTACTCTCACAATAACTAATTACCGTATAAAGATGAATGTAAGAGGAATGTTGTATGCATTGGTCATATATTTTTACTCATTTTGTTTCAATTTGTTCATGCTGCAGGATGTTGTTTGAACTGCTTGTGCTGAGTGGAGCTCAAGTTGGCTCAGATTGGACTTCCATTTTAAAGAAACGCCAAGATTTCAGGTGAGTCCTTGTTTTCCATATTGCTTCTCATTAAAAAAAAAAGGAATAATATTTCTGAAAAGTGTAAGTTTATTTTCTCTCTGCAGGAATGCATTTTCAGATTTTGATGCAGAAATTGTGGCCAATTTCACTGACAAGCAGATGGTGTCAATTGGTTCAGAATATGGCATTGATATAAGCAGGGTCCGAGGAGTTGTGGACAACTCTAACCGAATTCTTGAGGTAAAAACTAAGGCAATCCTCAAAAAATTTGTCCTCTATCAATCTTTTCCATCTATTCTGTCCCCTTCTTTTAAGGACCATCTTTGCTGATCAAACGATCATGTCTTCTTTTTTAATGGACTTGTTACTCAAAAGAAACATTTTAGTTTAAGTAAACAAAACCCATAAAAAATAAGGGAATATTAAAGCAGTTATTGACTTGACCATCATTAGCAGCTTAATCTATAGTTCTTTTTGGGGTTTCAAGCTTTAATCTATTATTATTTTCTTCTTATTTGGTGAAAAGCTTGTCCACTAGTGGCTTCCAACTGTCCTGCATGATGTCTGCAATATATGAATTATATTACTGCAAATGATAGCCCTTCTGATTTTAATACACTTGGCTGTTCATCAGAATTATGTGTTATATTTAAAATAATGTGCCCCATCTTTTGTGCTATTAATTGCAGATTAAGAAGGAATTTGGATCATTTGACAAGTACATCTGGGGCTTTGTCAATCAGAAACCCATCTCACCTCAGTACAAATTAGGCTACAAAATCCCAGTTAAGACATCAAAATCAGAGTCCATCAGCAAGGACATGGTTAGGAGGGGATTTAGGTTTGTGGGTCCAACAGTTGTTCATTCTTTCATGCAAGCCTCAGGCCTCACAAACGACCATTTGATCACTTGCCACAGGCACCTCCAGTGTACCTTATTGGCAGCTCGCCGTCCCACATTGGAAGAAGTTCTATAGGATCATTGACATCAAAGAGGAAAAAATTAATGACCCAAAAGTGTTTAGGGCTCAATATGCTAGAGAAGTGAGTGCATAGTTTGCTAACTACATAAAAAAGCAACAAAAAGAAAGGGTTACTTTTGGTGGTTGTGACTTGTGTGTATAATATAAATAGAGCAATGGTTGTGATTAGTTGTGAGATTTAATTTAGAATCAAGAATGCTTCAACGATTAAGATTCATGTGAATGACTGATGATAGCATTCTTAGTTAACAAAGTTTGAAATAGACAGATGAGTGGTGTTGCAGAGGGAGCTCTCAAGGAGACAGGCATCATGTGCATATGCATTAAGGAGGCAGGGCATGTGTGGATGTGTCAGTGTTGCTTTTTATTCCATGTGACCCATCAAACTTTGCATTATTTTGAATTCCTTTAACAGGCTGTGTGGGATATTGGAAGATGGAGTGTAGGACCAGACCACATATTAATTTCTCTTTCTCAATTGCTTTGTTAATTGAGTTGTTAGTTATTAATCTTCTGTACCTGTATTTTTCTAACCCTTTTTGGCTTTGGGGGAATATTATACCCCATTGTTGTGTATCTTGAATTTGATGTGAGAGGTTTTGAGTGTTGTTTGATTCAATTTCCATGTGCTTGCTTCTGTTCTGATTGCTGACTTTTATATATAAAATACCTTTTGAAATGCTAATCAAATAAGATAGGTATCTTCTCCATGTGTCTACTTTCTATTTTCCCTCTCTGCCTTTCCCTCTCACATACTCACACCTATCAATTTCCAATAAGGAATGCTTGGCATTTTCATCAAGGGCATTTTGCACATTGGTTGGCTTCATGAAGAAGGGGGGGCTTTCAAGTGCAATAATTAAGGGGATGAGAGAGGGCCTCGCATGATTATTATTGACAAAAGAATTATACAATAATGCGGCACTAAATCTGTGTCCCACAATGAAATTTGTCTAGAGCCATAGATTTTGTGCTTGGGTGAGGAAGTTGTTTAAAATGTGCTAAAAATGATCAAGTAAATCAGTGAAGTAGAGAACCATGGAACTTGTAAATGGTCATGCCTCCTAGCATGTGGAGGAGTCAATGCAAAATTTGTAACTTTGAACTTTGAACAACATTAGTTGCTTGCTTCATAAGCACGGATTGTGCAACTTGCCTAAACCAACCCAAGATGAGTTGCCTAACCCAACCCAACCAAAGGAAAATAGGCACCAAAATAATTAATTAAGACCAGAGTTTACTCACAAGAAATGTGAGCTGTCACTTGAATCAAAGGCAAGTCAATAGAAGGTTTTGTTGGTGATGTTAAAACTGGATGAAAAATCACACCAAGAGAGCAAGACTTTATGTGGTTCACTCAACTCAAAAGTTCGGGCTATGCGTATTAAACGTAAAGAATACACATATTTATATCATATTTACATAGTATGTTTGATTTTTACAAAATATACCTATGAGATACAGAGTCTGCGCTCTTTGAATAAATTCGAATATTCAAAGAGTATAGCCGGGCGGCTGTTACTGTTCAAATATTTTAATATATTTCAAGCTTATAGCCGCACGGCTATACGTTTAAAATATTTGAATATATTTTACGAGTATGGCCGCGCGGCTGTCCTATTTCAATATCCGAATTTGTTCAAAGAGTGCGGCGATTTTGTTGAAATATTTTAATATATTTAAACAGTATAGCCGCGCGGCTGTACGCTTACAAATATTTGAATTTATTCAAAGAGTATAGCTGCCGGCTAGACTGTTCAAATATTTTAATATATTTAACGCGTATACCCGTTCTGTATAAAATTTATTCAAAGAGTATAGCCGGTCGGCTATACTGTCCAAATATTTTAATATATTTAAAGAGTATAGCCGTGCGGCGTACTCTTTAAATATTCCACAAGTATAGCCGGCTATACTTTTCAAATATTGTAATATATTTAACACACCTATTTTTTTGTTACCTAAATACTGTGCTAACTTTTTTTATGAATAATCTACCTATGTTTTTATATAAATAAATACCTATTTTTTGTGAATAATCTACCTATATAAAATTTGTAGGATTAATTTATCATAAAAAATTTATAGATTTTTTTCGAAATTTTGGGGATTTTATGAAATTGTTATGCTAGAAATAAGGGAGTATTAATGTCACATCCCGGGATCGGCTCCGCTGTAACACGATATTGTCCGATGTGGGCCCCCCTCTCTGCCCTCACGGTTTTGTTTCTGGGAACTCACGAGCAACTTCCCAGTGGGTCACCCATCCTAGGATTGCTCTAGCCCCAACTCGCTTAACTTCGGAGTTCCCATGACTCCGAAGCCAGTGAGCTCCCAAAAGGCCTCGTGCTAGATGGATGCGGGCATGTACATATAAGGCACATCAACCCCCTCTCCGTTGGTCGATGTGGGATCTTACAATTAATTAGAAATCAAGGAGTTAATGACATGCTTCAAAATAAATTATAATTACAAAATATTAAGGTAAATGGCATATCGTGTAATTTAGTCTTGGACATATCTATCTTACATGACAACATATTTCAAATTTAGTTAGATTTTTAGTTATAGGCGGGTTTATGTCTAGAATATAAGAGTCGTAAGGGCCTATATTGGCTTCATTCTAATTTTAATTCAAATTACAGTTTAGTCAATACCGAAGAATAGTAAAGCAAAATAAACAAATAAGCTTTCTCATGAATAAAATTGAAAACACACAGGCTAGAGTGTGCTTATCCTATTTCCTAGTTATATATCAATGCGTTGAATGCATTTTAACTTTAATAATCAGATTGTAACCTGTTAAAGAATTACCTAAACAATGCTAAAACAAGGGCAAGAAATCTTAAATTACGGGGTCACGTAGATACAAACTTGCATAAGTTTATAATGCTCCCTTGAATTTGATCTATATCCAATCTGCGTCTCTCAATTTCTTTGGCAAGAAAGTCTTCGACAGGTTGTCGCCCAAAGATTCAAGATTGGCTTTATTATGGGTATCTTTCATCAAATTCACCTCGTCAACCCATTTCGCATTAGAAAGTACAAACTTTTCTCTCCCTATATTTGTTACGTATTTATCCTCATGTGTTTTCCTCGGCCGCCTTTGGCTTTCTGATATCTCATACTTATCCTTCCCCAAATCGGATGGTCTTAACCCTAACCACATTATGTCGGGGGTTATCAATCTGTAATTGTCATGTGCCATTCTTTTTGAGCCCCATCTGTAAGTAGTAAAAATTCGCAGCCCATACACATTGCAGTCCATAAGTCCAAGGATTGGAAGCTTCAGTTCGGTTGCAATGGCTTTCAAAAAAAATTTTGTACTATGGCAAGGTTGTCCCCGACCCGTGATTATTATACACTGATAAGCTACATGAAACTTATCACGTACCAATCGCTTCAGCACCGTCTGTTTCTCCACCACCAAAATGAAAGCCGCATCACTCTTAATGTCAGAGATATCGTGGTCTGGGATAATTTGTACCTCACCAAAGTTTTCGCAAACTTCGCCCTTACATACATAGGACAGCTGACCAGCCATTCTACCTTCCGCGTTGCTTGTTATAAGTAAACTCTCCCGGGTGCACTCCAACATGCATGTTAGATTGTCAACCAGGATATCCAAATAATATATAGTTTCGATTCCATAAGGCTCCAACTCGTAGAGCAGCTCCCGCATGTTACATACAGTTATAGTTCTCCTCACACTTAATCTTGATCACTTCAATCATCGACATGAATTTTATGTCCCGAGATTCGAGCCTTTTATTTTTTTCCTGGACTTTCGTTTTAGCTTTCTTTTTCAGTACATAACGATTTGCATCCGTGGAGAAAACCTGGGTACTGTCGGTTCGTACGAGAAAAGGGAAGCATGGGGTTATTCCAGCTTCAATGTTTTTTTGAGCTGCAACAATTAAATCACGGAGACCTTCTATTATTTCTTCACGAGGTCTATATCTGACCTCAATGAACTGCCGGTCAGCTGGTGGAGGATAAATTTCTTCAAGGGGCTTTAGGACAGTAACCATAGATGACTTTAGTATTCTAAGATTTTCTAAGATGTGGTCATCCATTGGTAGGGTTATGGCAATATTGTTGGTGATGATGAGAGATATGGCTCTGAAACAGCAGAAGGAGCAAGAAGACTGTGTAAGTTGGGAGGAAGGTCAAATTTCTTTTTTCTTTTTCTTGTTTGGTTTTCGGTCGAGAATCACCTCCCAAAATAAATAGAGCACGTAATGCAAGGAAAACCAAAAAAGAAAAAAAGGGAAACTTGTATGGTCGAAGCCCGCAAGGGGAAATTTGGAAAGCTAGGTTATAAAAAGTAAGAAAAAGAAATAATTAATATTAATAAAAGGGAATGTAGGAGGAGATTTTGCGTGTGGAGAATCAGCTACCAAAATATTAAAAAAAGAAAAAAGAAAAAGGGGAGTGAAGCCTAGGGGACTTGCCTTTACAAGTCCCACACAGAATAGAAAGAATTTGATTACAGGACTAAAGGAAAAAGAAAGTATAGTAATTTTATTTTATTTTTTGCTTCTCTTTATAATTCGTTTGTAAATAAAATGGGTAAGTAAGATTGTTTGAGATTGTACAATTACGAACGCTATTAAAATCCAAATAATAGCTTAGCCCATGAAAACTCATTGTCCGTATAAAAGCGTCTTTCCTTTTGTTGAGATACAGTCCAAAACCCTAGATCAGTTCAGATCAGAGCGCTCTCTCTCTCTCTCTCTCTCTCTCTCTCTCTCTCTCGGTGTCTCATAAAATAAAACCCCAGCAGAGCACTCCTTCCTGCCTTCCTTCCTTCCTCTGACTTTGATTGATGGCAGTCTTAATTGCGGGCGATCTTCGTTTCTGTCAATATGGTGGTCGTATGGTTGATTGTGCGAATGCCCGTGGGCGACAGGTTACTCTGCGCCATGTCGAAAGCAACATGACGAGCAACGCAGAGTACATAATACTGGTGGTTGGGAGTTACGGCGCTTACTTTCGATTGACCAAGGATGAGGTTGACCGTAGGTTTCCTTGTATCATTGTCTACACACCAGACCCCGTGCCGGAAGAGGATACGATCTCCTTTGTAAGGAAGATGAAGGAGGAGTTGGATCTCCCAGTGTTAGCCATTGCCGAGAGTAGTCCACGGTCGGTGAAGAATTTCTCTCTTTTCGTAGCAGGAGGATGCGACATAAAGTGGTTGGGACTCCGGCCTAGTGATGTGGTGGCGTTAAAAATGCATCCACTGTGTATGCGGCCCATGAATAGCAGGGATCTTAAGCTAGCACAACGTCTCTTGGAAAAAGATGCAGTCGTGAAGCAACGTCCGGAATGGGTTGAGGAGCTCAAGAAAATGGTGGAGACCCGCAGCAAAGTAGAAGTTGAGGCTTTGTCCCCCTTAGGGTGGAGCTTCTTGTCCAACGTTTATTTTCCAGACAAGATGGCAGCACAGGATTGGATATGACTCACTCACTAGTGCTCATATATGGCTATAGCTACCTTAATTATTACTAGGTATCTTCTAAATTATTCTGTTTGGCATGCTCAATATACTATTTGTTTTTCTTTTTCTGGATGATGATGGTGATGATGATGATGCATATTGTTTGTTCATTTCTCTTTTATTTTTCTTTCTAGATTTGGGTTTGATTTGATGCATTTATATATAATCAATCGGGACTTCAATTCAGATAGGAAATGTCTCTGCTATCACTATGATTCCTGAATTTCGTTTTTCACTCTTTAAATTATATGAGTGAATTTTGAATGGAATGTGTTTAGAGAGATGAATGTTGCTGGAGATCATTTGGCAAAGCATGGGACACCAGCTGGATTTGGGATTGCATACCTTTAATATATTCTCTACTGAGAGAACGACTAAAAACCATAGAGAGGGTGGGACTCCAAATCCCTCATCAACAATATTTGTTCCAATCCCAAACCCAGTGGGATTCCTCTTCTTCTGTTATTTTATCTCTTCCCTTTCTTCTAAAGATGAGTGCGAATAATGATCACAAATATTCATTCAGAAATATAGTGGAAGCTGTTGGGCGAATGATCACAAAATTGAAGTATAGGATGAGATTTATAAAGTAAGGCTAAGAGTGTTTGTAAAACAGAGAATTAGACAAACTGATTTTATTAACTTCTTCGATACAACATGGTAACCTATAACATTGGCTAAGATACAACTTTTGATATCTAAAAAAATACAACTTCTCATATGCTGAAGAGATACAACTCTTCATAAGAAACTTGTAAGAAAAGATACAATTAATAATTTTATTTTCTAAATTTAAACTGTATACAATGTATTACTTTTAACAGTAGCTCACATTACAGTGGATGTACTCTTACAGAAATACTTATTAAACACTATGGATGACTCTCTAGATTCCAATTCAATTCATGATGATGGTGATGCATATTGTTTGTTAATTTCTCTTTTATTTTTCTTTCAGGGTTTGGGTTTCATTTGATGCATTTATATATAATCAATCGAGACTTCAATTCAGATATAGGAAATTGTTTTTCTCCTGCTATCACAATGAATCATAGCCTATGATTTCTAAATTTGTGAAAGAAATTTTCACTCTCCAAATTATATGAGTGAATTTGTTTACTGCATAAGATATATCTTGTGCTATGTCTTGCTTGGGCTCAGCATCTTTGGTTTTTGATTGGGTGTTGTCGCTGTCATTTTTGTTCTTTATTCTGCTGTATTGTGTTTTGGCTCGTCTAAGTTTGCTTGTGAGGTGGTTCTGTTCTGTTAGTTTTTTTTTTTTGGGCTCGTTGCACTGCAGCGAGGGGGTTCTTGTTTCCACCTCATGATGGACGTGTTCTTTTGCTTATCCAATTATATTACTTGAATTTAAAATACTCAGCTTCATCTGTTTAGCTTCCCTAGTGACTATTGTTCATCTAGTTATTTTTATTCTGGAAGTTCTATTTCTTCTCCAATACACCAGCCAAATTCATTGAAATGATTCTCAATTTTAAGAACCCAGTCACCCTTATGAGCACATAATTTCTTGCAATCCTCAACTTTTGTGACCCTCCTGGATTTCTCTGGCAGCTGTTGAAATATCTATTCTTTCAACTCTAACCAACTTCTTCCGAGTCCATTCTTGAATTTCTTATATATCTACCCCTTTTTATACATCGATCAGGTTGTATTGTGTAGTGGCATTAGACCACTTCTTGTTCTCAGCTGAGGAAATGGACAAAATGACTGGACGATGCAGCAATTCTGCTGCTTTGTTATTCTTACTCAGCCATAGCCTTTTCTAATCTGAGCACAGTAGTGAAACTATAGCTTGGATCTCAAGGCTGATAGCTCCAGCAAACAATATATTAGTGACAATTACATTTCTTCTGAGTAACCTTGCTTCTCAATGACAAAAAAGGCCTCAGAAACAAAAATTATGCGAACAAAACTGATGAAACGAAGAATATGGCACCCTTAGTAGAATTAACCAGGACTGCCTTTGTCAAAACACATCATCAATAAATAAATCCAAGCACAATCTTAATCACTTATAATCCAAGCCAATTATAAGAACTTTGAACATTTTGAGAATTTTGACAGCCAAAATAAGGCTAGTAAATCACAGTTCACATATGAAAAAATAATAATAATTACAAGCACTGCATAATACAACTAATCTGTGTGGGTAAGCAAATTGAATCCCCATGAGTCACAAAGATCCCTGCTAACTGCTAAGAAAATAAAATAAAAGAAGCTTCAAAAGTAATGCAAAGTGAAAGAGTGACTTGAACTTTTTAACTGATGCCTTTTATATATGATGATGAATCAAAGATTATTTGCTTTAGGGCTAGCAGATGAATAAGCTAGCCCTTGCTTTAGGCTTTTCCTTTTTAGGCTTTTCCTTCTAAGTAATGGCCCCTGCTCTTTTCTGCAACCATGTAGCTGAGTTTAATGGCTACATTTTTTCTTCTTCTGGTTTTGCAGTTAAATATGGTAATAAATGACTCCTATCACCGGCAACTGTGCTGCCTCGAATGGCTTTTGAAGACATCAAACTTGGTAACGTCCATATTTCCAAAGGGGATAAGCCCTCTTACCAGCTGCTTTTGCAGCTTGATTGTGAAGTTGGAAGCACAAGGAAAGCATGTATAAATTGCAATCGTGTTGGAGATCATATCACATTCATAGGAGTGTTATAATAATTTTCTTTATATATATCTGAATTATACTTTATTTATGAATCATATTGTTGGAAGTCGTATGGCATAATCTGAATTATACTTTATTTATGATGATATTTGGCGTGTTGCAGGAATGACATAATCTTGGAACATGTTTTAGATGAATATGATTTACATATTTAAATTTATTATATATATATATAAAAACCAGGATTTGACAATGCTCATATTCATGTTGTTGATAACAATATGACAACGTTGAAAGTGCGTTGTGAAATTTGCAACACGCATAAGATGTTAAAAGAATAAATGGTATACAAATTTTAGGGATATGTTGCTGTTTCTTATTTGAGGGATCCCTCAACTGAAGCTCCCTTTATATGACGGATCTTAAGTCTCTGCCTTTAGAGATGGTGCATTTACCCGCATTTCATAAAATCTAGACCATATCAAACCGATGCCGTTTATACCTGGTCTTCATCTCTCCTCTCAACTCCCGCACTCATCTTCTCTCTCATGTCTTCTATGCCCCATTTCTTTTTGTTTACAATACTTTTCTCATATGTTCAGTATGAGCGAATTTTGGCCAGTAATCTTTTTTTTTTTTCCATCTGCACATCATTGTGATTTGTTATTTTTTTTTATTAAAAAAAAGCCTTTAATAGCTGCAATATACATCATCAATTTTTAAAGAAGGCAAAGGTGAAGCTTGAATTTGCTGCTTCTGCAAAAGCCGGAGAGAAGAATTATATCGATCCTTTATTTCATATTTGGGATGTGATTGCTACACTACAGCAATTGATTGCTATTGCAATCCAAATACACTACCGCAATTGATTGGTAATGCAATATGTAGTCATCAGCCAAAATTGATTAGGAAATTACCAAACTGATTGCTATTCTGATTAATTGATCTTCAGTTACTATACATTAAACTAGAAGAAAAAGACCAAAAACAAAAACAGATTAAAAAGACATTTTGGATTTTCTTGTGAGCAAAGCTGATTTGAAAGTGAATACAGTCTAATCACATTAATTAAAATGATCGATTATAAGGGGACGAACAACATATATAAAGTTTGTTTGTTTTTTTTAAACTTTCCAATCAGATTGTTTTGTTTTGTTTTTTTCCACTAATCACTATCCTGAAGAGAAAACAAGAAAGGATTGAATGCGTGCGAGTAACAAGAAAGGATTGATTAAATTATGAGGCCTTTAGGGCTGATATCTCTATCCACATGAATTATGACAACTGGCCTTTAGCTGCAATGTTCAGTGTTACAGTTCACACACACATCTAATTTGAGGGACCAACTTATAATATCTACTACCTATTTGCAACTTTTTCTTGCTTTGGTTTTTGGTCGTGAATCACCTTCCAAAATAAATAGAGCATGTAATGCAAGAAAAAAAGAAAAAGAAAAAAAAGGGAAACTTGTACGGTCGAAGCCCATAAGGAGGCAAGGGGAAATTTGGAAAGCTAGGTTATAAAAAGTAAGAAAAGAAATAATATTAACAAAAGGGGAATGTAGGAGGAGATTTTGCGTGTGGAGAATCAGCTATCAAAATTATATATATAAATAAAATAAAAAAATAAAAAAAAGGGGGAGTGAAGCCTAGGAAAAAGAAGAATTAGACTCCCCGACTTAAGGAAAAAGAAAGTATATATTGTGTGGTTTGTTCGGTATAAAAGCATCTCCTCCTCCTCGTTGAGAACCCTAAATCAAATCCGATCAGCTGTCTCATAAAATAAAACCCCAGCAGAGCACTCCTTCCTGCCTTCCTTCCTTCCTTTGACTTTGATCGATGGCGGTCTTTATTGCGGGCGATCTTCGTTTCTGTCAATATGGCCGTGGTATGGTTGATTGTGCGAATGCCCGTGGACGAGAGGTTACTCTGCACGATGTCGAAAGCAGCGGTGGTGAGATGACGAGCAACGCAGACTACATAATACTGGTGGTTGGGAGTTACGGCGCTTACTTTCGATTGACCAAGGATGAGGTTGATCGTAGGTTTCCTTGTATCATTGTGTACACACCAGACCCCGTGCCCGAAGAGGATAGGATCTCCTTTGTAAGGAAGATGAAGGAGGAGTTGGATCTCCCAGTGTTAGCCATTGCCGAGAGTAGTCCACGGTCGGTGAAGAATTTCTCTCTTTTCGTAGCAGGAGGATGCGACATAAAGTGGTTGGGACTCCGGCCTAGTGATGTGGTGGCGTTAAAAATGCATCCACGGTGTATGCGGCCCATGAATAGCAAGAATCTTAAGCTAGCGCAACGTCTCTTGGAAAAAGATGCAGTCGCGAAGCAACGTCCGGAATGGGTTGAGGAGCTGAAGAAAATGGTGGAGACCCGCAGCAAAGTAGAAGTTGAGGCGTTGTCCCCCTTAGGGAGGAGCTTCTTGTCCAACGTTTATTTTCCAGACAAGATGGTAGCACAGGATTGGATATGACTCACTCACTAGTGCTCATATATAGCTAGCTACCTTAATTATTACTAGGTAGGTATCTTCTTAATTATTCTGTTTGCCATGCTCAATATACTATTTGTTTTTCTTTTCTGGATTCAACTAATGACGATGATGATGCATATTGTTTGTTAATTTCTCTTTTATTTTTCTTTCTAAGTTTGGGTTTCATTTGATGCATTTATACCCTTTTTGGCTTTGGGGGAATATTATACCCCATTGTTGTGTATCTTGAATTTGATGTGAGAGGTTTTGAGTGTTGTTTGATTCAATTTCCATGTGCTTGCTTCTGTTCTGATTGCTGACTTTTATATATAAAATACCTTTTGAAATGTTAATCAAATAAGATATGTATCTTCTCCATGCGTCCACTTTCTTTTTTCCCTCACTGCCTTTCCCTCTCAATTTCCAAAAAGGAATGCTTGGCATTTTCATCAAGGGCATTTTGCACATTGGTTGGCTTCATGAAGAAGGGGGGCTTTCAAGTGCAATAATTAAGAGGATGAGAGAGGGCCTCGCATGATTATTATTGACAAAAGAATTATACAATAATGGGGCACTAAATCTGTGTCCCACAATGAAATTTGTCTAGAACCATAGATTTTGTGCTTGGGTGAGGAAGTTGTTTAAAATGTGCTAAAAATGATCAAGTAAATCAACTGAGATCTTTCTCTAATCACTACCACATTTTACAGTTTGCGCGACGAATACAAATTCGTCGCGCAAAGAACAAAGCAGTCGCCCAAATAACAGCGCGACAGTAATAGCGTCGCGCAAAATTAGTCACGCAAAGATTGTAAAGAAAGACTTTGCGCGACAGACTTTATGTACATTCGTCGCACAGGAAACTTCGTTGCACCAAAGGTTCAGGGACGGTCCTTCTTTCGTCGCGCAAACCATTGAGTGACGAATAATTAAACGTCGCACCAACATAGTGCGACGATTTTACTTCGTCGCACAAACATTTCAGGGACCATATTGATGTCGTCGCGCAAAATATTTGCGGGACGAAACAGTAGTTGTCGTAGATACAAAATGCGACGATGTGGATTCGTCGCGCAAATAATAAGCGACGAAATTGTACTCGTTGCATTTCCATAAGGGGACGAAATATTTCGTCGTACAAACGTAAAATATATTGTTTTATGATTTAGTTATACGGGTTTGTATTTTCCTTTAAATGAGTTTGCGCGACGACTATTATTTTCGTCGCGCAAAATTAGTAATTAATTTTTGTTTTTTTTTTTGTTTGTTTTTTTGGAGATATAATTTTTTGTTTTTTTTTTAATTTATAATTAAATGAAATTACAATAAAAAAAAATGTAATGAAGAGAAAATTTTTGTTATAACATAATAATAGAGTAAAATACAAGAGAAATGTTTTAAAATGTAATTAAGAAAGTATAAAACTAATCAAATATTGTTTGATAATCTACTTGGTCTCCGATCTGGACATTGTGGACAGAGGCAGAGGTTTGGTGGCCATGCTCGGGTTGGATGGGCTCAGAGGTGGACGAGGGAGCAAAAGACGGTACGGGAACGCCGGATTGGGAGAGGGACTGTAAAAACGAATCCGTCTGGGACATCCGGGCTTCAAGCTGAGACATTTGGGCCACCTTGGCTTCAAGCTGGTCCATGTGGGCCACCTTGGCTTCAAGCTAGTCCATATGGGCCACTCGGGCTTGAAGCTGGTCCATCTGGGACTTGATGTGAGAGGTTTTGAGTGTTGTTTGATTCAATTTCCATGTGCTTGCTTCTGTTCTGATTGCTGACTTTTATATATAAAATACCTTTTGAAATGTTAATCAAATAAGATATGTATCTTCTCCATGCGTCCACTTTCTTTTTTCCCTCACTGCCTTTCCCTCTCAATTTCCAAAAAGGAATGCTTGGCATTTTCATCAAGGGCATTTTGCACATTGGTTGGCTTCATGAAGAAGGGGGGCTTTCAAGTGCAATAATTAAGAGGATGAGAGAGGGCCTCGCATGATTATTATTGACAAAAGAATTATACAATAATGGGGCACTAAATCTGTGTCCCACAATGAAATTTGTCTAGAACCATAGATTTTGTGCTTGGGTGAGGAAGTTGTTTAAAATGTGCTAAAAATGATCAAGTAAATCAACTGAGATCTTTCTCTAATCACCACCACATTTTACAGTTTGCGCGACGAATACAAATTCGTCGCGCAAAGAACAAAGCAGTCGCCCAAATAACAGCGCGACAGTAATAGCGTCGCGCAAAATTAGTCACGCAAAGATTGTAAAGAAAGACTTTGCGCGACAGACTTTATGTACATTCGTCGCACAGGAAACTTCGTTGCACCAAAGGTTCAGGGACGGTCCTTCTTTCGTCGCGCAAACCATTGAGTGACGAATAATTAAACGTCGCACCAACATAGTGCGACGATTTTACTTCGTCGCACAAACATTTCAGGGACCATATTGATGTCGTCGCGCAAAATATTTGCGGGACGAAACAGTAGTTGTCGTAGATACAAAATGCGACGATGTGGATTCGTCGCGCAAATAATAAGCGACGAAATTGTACTCGTCGCATTTCCATAAGGGGACGAAATATTTCGTCGCGCAAACGTAAAATATATTATTTTATGATTTAGTTATACGGGTTTGTATTTTCCTTTAAATGAGTTTGCGCGACGACTATTATTTTCGTCGCGCAAAATTAGTAATTAATTTTTGTTTTTTTTTTGTTTGTTTTTTTGGAGATATAATTTTTTGTTTTTTTTTTAATTTATAATTAAATGAAATTACAATAAAAAAAAATGTAATGAAGAGAAAATTTTTGTTATAACATAATAATAGAGTAAAATACAAGAGAAATGTTTTAAAATGTAATTAAGAAAGTATAAAACTAATCAAATATTGTTTGATAATCTACTTGGTCTCCGATCTGGACATTGTGGACAGAGGCAGAGGTTTGGTGGCCATGCTCGGGTTGGATGGGCTCAGAGGTGGACGGGGGAGCAAAAGACAGTACGGGAACGCCGGACTGGGAGAGGGACTGTAAAAACAAATCCATCTGGGACATCCGGGCTTGAAGCTGGGACATCTGGGCCACCTTGGCTTGAAGCTGGTCCATGTGGGCCACCTTGGCTTGAAGCTGGTCCATATGGGCCACTCGGGCTTGAAGCTGGTCCATCTGGGACGTCCAGGCTTCAAACTGGGCCATCATTGCTGTCATAGCACTGTTTGACTGGGTTGATGAACGGGGTCTAGGTTCCCGCCGCCGGGCATTCCCCATCCCTCGACAGTATGTCACTGGCCGCCTCCCGAGAGTCTGATCCAAGGCTTCCGTCAAGATCTGAAACCCCGCATCCTGT